GAAATAGATTTCAGATGGTAACAATATTCAATTCAATTAAAATCAAAGATACATTTTATTGACCGTTTATTAAAGTATAGTACACTATATGAAGCACATACTAAATTCCATTTTTTCAATTACAAGATCATGTTGCAATCAAGGAGGCTCCTTGTTGTTATTCAATCATGAATATATCAAGGAGGTATAATAATATTTTTAAACCTCCTTGAATATATCACCGTAAATGGAAGAAAGAGAATATAGTAGAAAGATATTTTGTCAGTGGAAAGATAGCAAAACAATAATACTTAGGCCTATAATAAACCGATTCACGAACTAAAATATATAGGGCCTAGGCATATTAAATTTTTCGTATTCGCAACTCCTTCGGCGCTCCATATATTTGTTCGAAATAAACCGCGACCGAAACGAAGCGCGACCGAAACAAAGCGCGACCGAAACGAAGCGCGACCGAAATGATCGGCTACCGCTTATGCGACCTACGTTTTTGGCTTTCGTGTTTTCTTTTAAGATTTACTTAGATTTATTTTACGTGTCAAAGGATCTATATTAAGCATCGTGAGGGCACTGAGGCCAAGGCTTCAAAAGGGCAGGCAAGTAGTGGCCGTCGTCATGCTTCATTTCCAGGGGCACCAAGGCCAACTGGGAGGGCACCGTCGGTAATGGCCGCGGTGGCCGCGGTAAAATTCGAGGCCTGCAGACTGACAGGTAGGTAAAAATGGCCCCAATAATAAAATTCTGTATTAAAAACTGATTTTCAAAAAATCATTATATGCATTTTTTTAACTGAAATAATTTAATTTTTAAAAAGGAATCTAACATCAAATAAATTGCCATTTTAATACATTTTACTTTTTGCAGGAATTACATATTCAATGATAAAATATTCAAAGATAAAAAAAAAAGCCATGAATAACACTTTTTTATTTTTTTTCCATTTAAATGTTAAAAAATAGCAACAACATAATTAATAAATCAACATAAATCATGCATTTATTAATACTAAAATAATTTATTTGTGGCCAATTTCACGGAAGCGGAATCACAATTTTCCAGAAATTCAATCCAGGTATTGGTAAACCCCACAAACAATGAGTTTATATGAACATCAAATTATTATTTTTTTTTTTTTAGAAAAAGAGAGTTCTACAATCGTAATTAAAGGGTTTGGATGGGGTTCGCACTGTGTTTGGAGGTTTGTGGTGTATTTGCAAGTATTTTTTCACCAAAAAAAAAATCAACATTTTAACCAAAAAATAGGCGCTTATGAATATTTAATTTTCTTATTGATATACCAAGTGTGTCAATCAAAATTGAATCGTTTGGTTTTCTACAGTGTGTTTTAGGAGGTTTTTGGGATTTAGAAATACCATTTAATCCTACCATAATTACCCTACCCTCACAATTACACACCATTTTAATTCTTAGCATAATTGCCATACTTACATATGTATATATAGTATCTCATTTTACATTATTTAGTGTAGTTTTAGGCACTTAAGTTTAGTTGGCGGGGAGTAAAATCCAAGTATGCAATTAAATAAGTTGCTTAAATGAATGTAGGCCTATTCCTAATTATTCAGTTTACTTTAAAAACAATATTTGATTAACAATACTTCTTTGAAGTAACTCTAATCAGAACATTTACTGCTAAGTTTGTGAGAAAGTAAGCCTCTGGGCCCTTTTCCCATACATGAACTTGTGATTCAAACACACAATTGATCCAACTACTGTTTATTTGCATTGTTTATAACATGTAAAGTTATTTCATTTGATACTTAACAAAAGTGAATTTTGTGGTTATCTATGAGTTGCATATTTTGGTAGTTGAATTACTGTATGTATGTCATTCCGCTACTTTGTCAGTGGAATAACGTTTTTAAAACTTATTTCTCAAAAAATGTTTCAATGGCATTGTTTTCCGATAAACTCTCAGTACATTATTTGCATCTGTTGTGTTACTGTATTTGTTATTGATTCAATTCTTGCTTTTTACAGCTAGTATTTAAATATTCGAAGATTTTAAAAAAAATATCATTTCTATTAATACTGAATGTTTTCACTGGGGCCATTTTTTACCTACTAGTCATTTGTGGCCATTTTTACTGGGGCCATTTTTACTGGGGCCATTTTTCCCTATGCTATCACACTGCAATGTTTTTCATGTATACCCAAGTTCAGTCCAGTGACCGCCAGTAAACAGTAGTCATCGCCAAAACCCTCTATTGGTACTGGATCTGTAAATTTTCAACAATATTAATACATTTTGTTCGGCTCACAAAATTAACATGAACACAAGAATGACTCACTTCAAGGTAACTTACATGCAGCTGTTCTCACGTTTCCATGGCTTGTAATTTTGTTTCACAGACCTATCCCACATCTCTTTTAACCTCAGTTTGAGTATGTTCACCATCAGGTCGAAGGTCAATACTCAGGTGGACCTTGCCTATGCTTTAGAACTACAGTAGATGGAAATATACAGAAATTGTTCAATGTTTGTTCTATGCAGTGTGCTATTTGCATTTTTATCTGTTTTTTCCATTATAATGTTTTAGATTTAAAACAAATTTGTTTCATGTTCATTTTTATGTTCATTTATGAATTAAAATACAAAGTGATTAAAAAAGATATATAAACAAACAATAAATGGAATGCAAGTTTCGTAAAATCCTCTATAAGACACAGTTTTTTGTGTTGTTCATACAATCAGATTTTTTCCCCTTAAGTATGGTTTAGATTCAAAATAACTTCATTTGCAAACTTAAGGAAAATTTGAAATGTACAGAAAAATTAATAGTAATATACAAAATATAAATATGAAACATTTAAAATTCTCGTTAAAACATTATAAATGATACAATTACAACAACCACAGCAACAACTACAGCTACAAAACAAGTAAAAGAAAAAGCAGGGTACCATACCCAGAAAGGACATCAACATTAGGGAAATTAAAAATTTGGTTTAGAAGATTTAATCTTTCTTTTTATATATGAAGCGATTTTCCGCAGCGGTCCACATGCTTAAGTGTTGCTGCTGGGGAGAGAAGCAATGCAGATAAAGTGCTTTGCTCAAGGAAAGCCAAACACACAGCAAAGGATTGAAACCCTGACTTCATCAACACTTTTCTTGACACTCTACAAGCCAATAATTTTTTTTAAATTTTGAAATACCAAGGTGGTGTCCAACGATAAGTATAGTTTTACGAGAATGTGTTCTTCAAGACAAAAACTGCATCGGGTCCAACTCCCTCAGACATTGGTCAGTACCCAGCAGCAAGATAAACAACGGATGAACTATTAGGGAGGATGAGCTCTTCCGTGTCACAGGTCAACCATGTTCACTTTAAAGAATAGGCTTTAGGTTATTATCTTTTTTCAATACAGAATCATTAGTAGCTAAACTACCAGAATCAGAACTGAAGCCGAAACCACCATGCACTTTTGTTTTTCTATTTGATATGACACGATCTTTACTTAGCGCTATGCATATAGAAATAGTCGAGGTTCTGGTTCTGGTGGGCAAAAATGTAAGAGTATACTAACAGGTCAAATATGATAATTTGAGGGGTAACACACCTGTCACCATGCATTGTGTGGCTGTGGAGAGAATCTTTAGATCAGGCCACGCATCCTGCCAGCACACACTGGCTACAGGCCTCTGTCTCCCAATTGCACTATTCAACAAATTAAATAATTAAAATGAATATGATAAATTTTGGGAATTAAATACATCTGTTCCTGAAAGATATTAATAATAATATAATTATTTAAAAAATAAATAAAAATAAGAATAATATAATTGTAATTCTAGAATAATAACAATTTAATGCTTATTTCAAAATAATAATCTACTTTTGAGAATAAAAAAAACCTCTGAACTAGAAAACATTAATATACTATAATTATTTTTAAAAAAAACAAGTGAAAATAAGAATAATAATAGTAATATTAAAATTATATCCTTTAATACTCATTTCAAAATAAGAATATATGCATGTAAGTATATAAAAAATAAATTATGAATAATCATTAATCTGTCATATACTCTGTCTTACCTTTTTGTTTCTTCAACATCATTGATAGATTCGCTAGAAGTAGCCTGTAAGGGATTAAACAAACATGTTATTAATAACAATAATAACTTCAATAATGGTAATGGAAGGGTATGTTTTTTTACAAAAATATATATTGCCAAAGCTCTATGAGTCCTTAATATGATTTTCTAAGGATAATTATATATTTCAGTATTTATTAACCTTTGTTTTTAAGATGCATCTGATTTGAAAAGTGGTTGATACATAATCATGACATGACATAATGAATGCATCCTTATCCAGTACTGAATGACATGCAATTTGTTGACCATATGGGCAATACAAATCACAACTGGCTGTGGTAATGCATCTGAAATTGTAAACAACCACCATCCTTCTATTATTAGTAGCTCTTACTTATTTTACCTTTGCATTTATAATGGTCTTTGAAAAATGATACACACTGTATCTCTATTATCCATGAATGCAAATGGTAACAATTGCATTGTGATTTGCTGCTATACCATAATTATCAGTGCAATATTTAACAACAAAGACAGTTGTTTTCTCATCATATTTGTGAAGATGTACCACGCAGTACTCCAATTACAGTTTATTATCTTGTATTTTTGTAACATGCGCAACATATTCTACCAAAAAAAAAAAAAAAAAAAAATCAAGGCTTGATTGGCTAAATGTGTTACCGAGGATGGATGCAGTTCTTTGGATAGTTGATAAAAATTGATATTTTAAAATATAAATCTGGTTGGTTGAAGCTTTTAAGTGCTAGGCTTGTGATTTGAGGCAAGCGATTGCACTCCCATACACCATCACTCACCTAAACTGCTCATCAGGGGTGTGAAAAAAATAGAGCACCTTGGGTATGAAAATCACTCACCTTAAATCTAGTAAAAAAAATCAGGTTGAGTGGACTGTATTCCAGATTAGAGCAATGTTTAATTGAAAACTTGTATATTTATATTATGGTCTGGCATGGCGTCGAAAATTATGTTCACCATAAATACCTAATGCAAGATTATTGATTGTAAAAGCAAATTAACATAAAAGCACACTTACAGGCTGATACTCTACAATGTAAAACTTACCCACAATGCAATTTAAAATGATGGAAATTACCTTTATAATAAAAGGAACAATATTTCCATGCAACTACCAAAATACAAGCAAATTAATTGAGCTTTTATTCAAAAAGAAGGAATCATATAATTATTATGATTCTTCCTATTCGAATAATATCTCATGTCAGTATTCTTGTGCTGAAGACCCCAGTTGAAACCCGGCTAGTAGCAGGTTTTAAACGGTTTCTGATCACTTTGCTCCTCGAATAACCCTTATATTGAAAGTTCAGCGGGTTAAGGACAATGTTTGTATCCATATGTTGTAGTTAAGTCAGTTAACACTGCATTGCCATTGGTCCCCTAGTTCAAATTTCCAATTTACAATTAGAATGAGAAAAATTTAAAAAAATAATATTATTAAGATTACTACTCTAACAACTGAGCTATGAAGCCACACTACCTGGTAGGATTTAGTAAACAACCTCATCATAGTTTCTTTGTGTTTATTTACTATTATTTTTATTCACAATTCAGAATTGAGAATTTTAAGCATGCAATAGTAGATACTTACTAAGCCATTCAAAGTCATTTTTTATGTTTTATTTTGACTGTTTTTTTTAGATGCTCTTTCAATAGGCTGACTTCACAATATTGTAAAACAAGATTCAAGCAAATTAACATAAACAATTTAAAAGATGCTCTATTACCTCTATACTGTTACTATTCAATGTTTCAACTGCATTCCTGACTATTATAGAGGGCGCTATTGAGATTAAACTCATCATTCATGCTGTCATATGTGGACTGGGTACTCTGCTCAACTTGCTGGCTTTTAATTGGTTCATCTGAAACCAGCGAGGCCCTGCTTCTACTCAACATAGACTTTACTGTGCTTTCGTATATAAATGAATTTTTCTGTCTTTCGTGCAAAACTTCTGAAATAGGTTGTGGTATATTTTGCTGAAAAACGACAAAAATTGATTAATGCATAATATAACTAACATGTAAAAGACATCTCAAAAAATCATCTAATCAATATACATACTGTTTTTAATAAATTTATATTGTATTTAACATCGGTAAAGTTATGATCAGTGAGAATCAAGGATACTGGAAATTGTGGGCCCTGATGGGGGAGCGAAGATGAAGTGGGGGTACTGGCTCGATGACTAAGTGAGGGGGAGCTAACTCGCAAAAATATTAGTCAACCAGAAATACAGATTTGAAACACCAAGGTTGGATGTAATTGCAACAAAACGTTTTTCCATGAATATATATAGTTAAAATTTATCTCTACAACATACAAAAAGTTCACCAAAATACACCCACGGGGAAGGTGATTTTTATAGCAAAGAAAACTGAACTACTGTACTTCACTGGGCTGCTATGCTCTGCCTATGATAATGTGTGCAGTATCTAGGTTACCAAGCGCTTTAATTTGGCTTCTGCTCCCACTTCTGATTGGTTAACCTTACCTTACAGTCTGCGCATACTCTATTACTAAAAGTTACGTCACACGTCCCACTGAAATTTGTTTTGTGTTGAATATTAGCCTAAAAGCCGTAATATTTGATTAGATGCTCAGTTATATGAATTATATGAATTATATGAAACGTACGATTAATACTACAGTTGGTGAGGCCTGCCCTATGCATGCCGACCCAGCTGAGACTCGGGAGTCGGAAAACGTATGTGAGATTTTCATAAATATAGGCATAGGCCTACTAATAATAATATAAGTTTTCTTACCTAAAAACATATCAGGGATTTTTCTCCTGACAGTAAAGCTTACTACTGCTTTGTTTTTCTTTTGCATTTGCACATAATAATAACAGGCAGACTTGTAGCGCAAATAAACAAGGTCTCAATGCTTCCCCCAAAAAAACTACAGTACCACATGAATAGGAAGGGTGGGTGCACATACCTGTCTCCAATTGTTCTTTTTGGTTTCCGTAACCAAATTCTCCATTGAAGACCATTTTTTTAATATTAACATACGAGTAGAAATCAATAAGATGTTTGAACTTGGAAATCCTGGAACCAATATGCGCTCATAAAGAGATTAAGATATTTTCATAATGATACATTGCATCCTGAAGAAGTTACTGCAAATGCTTGGTGTTCAATAAATTATGTAAAGTATTAGTATAAGTAACTGCTGTTTTAGTTTTTACTTTATGGTTCAGATTAACACGGCAACTTTAGGGGTCCTAAAGCCGGTTTTCCACTAGGCAAATTTATTCGCACAAATGAAAGCGTCGATTAGCTTCCTGAGCTCTGATTGGTTGCGCATTTTTTCACTTCGCAAAAACTCCGATAGGAATGTGAATGCGCATGAAGCGACGCTTTCGCTTCGCAAGAAATGATTCGCCTAGTGGAAAACAGGCTTAAGGTGGAAGAAGCAACTGGTGGGAGGATGCTGCAGGGGTGCAGATGGTGCAATCGCAATCTCATAAATTGTATTATATAATAAATAAATTCTTATATAAGTCAATCGTGACGTCATCACTGCAACTATTATTGAACTTCCACAGTCCAATAACATTTCATATCGAGAATAAACGGTATATAATAATTCTTGTGGTACACCATGTAGATATCTATGTGGTGTACCGCAAGAATTTATGTATTGTTATACTCTTCGCCATGCAAACCTTCAAACAATACTATAGGGAGGGCATTTAAATTCCTAAATTTTATTAAGAAAAATAATCATTATATTTTTGACAATTATTGGTAAGGTTTTTAAGGTATGAAAGTGCATTTTCTGGGCACCCAGAGGTTTTTATTCTCAAAATGTCCGCCCCTCAGGTGCAAAAATTTGACTCTCATGCACCCATGGGTGCAGATCATGGGGGGCTGGGTACATGTCCACCCTTGACATATTTTTAAGGGGGAGGGGGTTTGTCCCCTCACTTTTTGTCTGCAATGCAATTTCATATTAAGTCAAAAAGATGCCTGAAAATTGTTGCAATAAACTGCATAAATGACAAGGTACATCATATTTTATTGCAACATACTGGTATCTCTGCCCACAAACATCATCTGAATTACCTATAATACATGACTCGAGTGAGCGTGCCTTATTATAATTTGAAAAGTATGAGAAAAAAAGTGCAAATAGATAAGATTGGTTTTCGGCACATGTAAAGTAAATACATCAAAGACAATTAAGATTTATTTTCTATGGTACAATATATCACAGCAATGTATTAGATCGATGATGATGAATTATACTATACAAGAGTGTCATATCCGGCAATCTAGAGGTACTATTTCCCCGAATTTTATCACCTCAGCCCAAATTATAGTGGGGTAGAGATGGGTGTGGACTCGCGGTTCTGAATGCAAAAGTAAATACATCAAAGCCAATGTTTTTAAGTTGTATTTTCTATAGTACCGTACATCAAATATCATCATATTAACTAGATATATATGGTTGTCGGAAATAAATTTGTTGGCGCTTCATTTTGACTATAAAATGGTGATGTGATGATGATGAATTTTACTATATGAAAGTTTCTTGGAATTAACTAAACATAGCACTTTATAGCAATAGAATACATGTCATGAAAGACGGGCAAGACTTTTCACCCTCTCAGGTGAGCAATATTGTATCGACAAAATTGGCCAGTGCCAACTATCAGAGCTTTTTTGCTCAAAAACTTGTTCTTTTAGTAGTGTTAATTTCATCTTTAAAATGTGTTCAAATATTTAAAAATTTAGTAATCAACATCATTATTAGTTTCTCCATGTTCAAAGTTTAGAATTGAGATTTGATTTTAAGCATGTAACAGTAGTTACTATGCCATCAAAGACATTTTTGATGTTTTCTTTTATTTTGACTGATGTATTTTTGTGATTCTCTTTTAATTTATGTTGACTCAAAAATTGACACACAAAATAAAAAGATTCCAAAAAAGAAGAAAGATGCTCTATTACCTCTTTACTATTAGTATTCAATGTTTCATCTGCATTCCTGACACTATGGGAGCTATGAGATCAGACTCATCATTTATGTTATCATATGTGGATTTATGTTATCATGGCTTGCTGGCTTTTAATTGGTCCATCTGAAACCAGCGAGTCCCTGCTTGTACTCACTATAGATTTTTCTGTACTTCCATTTGCAGCAGAATTTCTCTGCTTTTTGCATAAAACTCCTGAAATTTATGGTGGTATCATTTTCTGGAGGACCAGGAAAAATTGATTGATGCATAATAACAACCACAGACCAAAATGGAAGCAGTGGGCATGGCCCTGAGCTGATGGGTGGGCCATGCAACCTCCCAAACATAAGAAAAAAAATTAGAAAATTATGATCTTTAGAGGGCATTTAAAGGTGTTTAAATGTTGGAATTTTGTCTTCAAAGGAATAGTGTTGAATTAGCTATCACAAAGATATTTTGGTTATAGTCACTCACATAATGTTTTTATGCTATGAGAATAATCTACTCTAGGGCCTCCGAATCGACAGATAGGTCAAACCTACTGTATTTTGTTGACTAATAAAATTTACCTTGTGACGTTAACGACAACAAATCTTCTTTACGGTATTCATGAATTAATTATAACCAGAGAGTTACGAACACCAGCAATATTATGTCAGAGAACCGAATTTCAAGTACTGTACTTGCATGCATTGTGGGCGACTCAGAACCGTCAATTTTCCAGAGGGTATAAACGTTTTAAACATGACGCATGTTGTTAGTGAACTTTTCACAGCCGTAGGCAATGGTTAAGCGTTATATTTTTGGGAATCCCCACCGAATATTGGTATGAAAACAATATACATTCAACCAATAAAGGTTGTTTTTAAAAAACGTAAATATGTTTTATCTTTAGTGGAATATATTATTCGATAGATTAGAAGAATATAAAGAATTTCCTAAAGGTAGACCTGGCCCAATTAGGCTAGGCTGAGCTGATTAGGTCAAAAGGTAAAAGTGGCTGTCCTAAACAATTGATGGCCGTCCAAAAGACGGGTGGACGGCTCGCTGGCTAAGCCTATGGTGTAAGGCCACACTGCAACCACAATGGGCTCTAGAAGTAGTGTAATTTGTGGATTACTATAAACTTACCGGCTGTGTCCAAGGCTCACTAGGCTAAGCCTATGTGTGACCCCCAAGGGTTTCTGCCTTGCTGAGGGCTGCTGGGTGGATTTAGTGGCATAAATTGTCTCATCTCCTTCATAGTAATTCTTAAAAGAAGGAAAAAAAAAGAGATAAAAGAATAGATGACCTCCTGCTTTGGATTTTTCTCTCATAAAGCAAAAATTATTAAATGCTGTTTAATATTTGGATTCGCATAATAATAACAAGTAGACCTATAGTGCAAGTAAACAATATGCTTTTCCTATTAAAACTAATGAAAACCTAAACTAAGTGAAAACCCCTCCCTCCCCCCCCCCCACTTATAATATTATGTAACTGACATATTTATGTCTTTTTATATTTTGATTAAATTTGACTTTGTACTTGAGTATGGTTTTTAATTGTACTTTTGATGTTTCCTTTTGTATTTTCTTGTTTGTGTTCCTTTGTACATTTGAACTACACTACTTGGGCTGCTACTGTACTTATGGGTTTTAATAAAGAATAAAGAGTTTATCATTGTTAAAAAAAAATCATTGACTAGGATAAAGATTTCCCATACGAATAGAATATACGAATGGTACTGGGTAAAAGACAACTTGATTTCTGGCTTTGAACAAGGTATTCACTCGTAGAAGTCTTATGAAGATAAGCCTATCCAGTAGTGACATTAAAGGGTCGGGACCAGGACATACCTTCAACTTTAGATTGACAAAGATTGAGATATCTGAAATAGACACAAGGCATACACAGGCCTAGTTCTGAGTCCAGTTAAAATATGTAATAATGTATTTGTGAATTTTCTTTCCTATAGTTAATCCATGTCAAGTCTGTAAGTAAAAACAACATTTACTTATAAAAAATTGACACTGGATTAACTAAAGGAAAGGAAATTCACAAATAATTTACTGAATCCGGAATGAATTTATAGAACTTTGTTGGCCCAACGTCGGTAAACGTTTGAAATAAACGTTGGTTACCACCGTTGGGCCGACGTTTGCCAGAGGTTGTAAATATTAAATATGATTACAGACCTTGTCTCAACGTCACAGAACGCTGTTGGCTCGACGTCGGTAAACGTTTGGAATGCAGGTTGGTTACAACCGTTGGTCCGACACTGGTTAGAGGTTGTAAATATTAGGATGTGATTATAGACGTTGTCCCAAGGTCACAGTACTTTGTTGGCCCGACGTCGGTAAACGTAAGTGAAGGTTAGTGACAACAGTTGTGCCGACGTTGGTTAGAAGTTGTAAATTTCAAACATTTACCGACGTCGGGCCAACAGAGTACTGTCTGTCTCTTATACACATCTAGATGTGTATAAGAGACAGTCACAGGACTGCAGCTCTTCCAATGCTGGTCGTATCTTTCATCATTGATGTTGAATAGCGAGCTTCTAATTAAAAAATAATTAAAATCAAAAAAGTGCACAGTGCCTTTGATCATTGATTTGGAATTTACACGATATAAATCATTAGCATTACAGTATATTATTATTATTATTATTATTATTATTATTATTATTATTATTATTATTATTATTATTATTATCAATCTAACCATTAAATTAAACATTTGCTGATCTGTACTATGATGTTATATAAAATAATAATGATAATAATGATACTGGTATTACTGGTATTAAAAATGATGATGTTAAACAAAGCTGATTACTAGTATGTTAAAGCCAGACTCTGAAGGTTAATACTTTTTTGATATGTTGTACAGACACACAAAAGGGGTGTAATTCCCTCAATCATTTGTTGTACAGACACAAAAGGTGTAATTCCCTCAATCATTTGTTGTACAGACACAAAAGGGGTGTAATTCCCTCAATCATTTGTTGTACAGACACAAAAGGGGTGTAATTCCCTCAATCATTTGTTGTACAGACACAAAAGGGGTGTTATTCCCTCAATCATTCCACAGCCTTTATGTGCCTTAGAAAAATCAGTTGTACAACATTATCAAACTGTTTTTCTCTGGAACCTGATTTAATGATGGAGATAATGATGACAATAATCATAAAGAAGATGATGAGTGATTAAATTTATTCGTAATGTCATAAAATACATAAAAATTATATACAAAAAACCAACAAAATGAAAATAAACATGACCCTGATTACAAGGAAAAGCCAAAAAATATGTACTGTAATGATGATTGGGTTTTCAGTATTAGGCTATGTCTCAAGTACAAACAATGCTCTATCAGAGCCAAATAAGAGGACAATTTCTTCAGGATATTTAAATTTTTAATAGCATTTAAATGCATTATGTTTGGCTCGTAAATTAACATAACATGAACACAAGAGTGAAGAACTTCAAGGTAACTTACACGCACTGCTTGCACGTTTTCCTGGCTTGTAATTTGTTTCACAGATTTATCCCACATCTCAATTCTTTCAACCTCAGTTTGAGTAGGTTCACCATCAGGATCAAGGTCAAGAGTCAGGTGGGCCTTACTTACTGCTTCTGAACTAGATAGATGCAAATATAGAGAAAAGTGTTTACTGTTTGTAGACCTACTGTACAGTGTGCTAAATACATCTTTATCTCTGTTTTAATATTTTTAGTATTTTCATATAAAGAAAACTACTTTTTTTTTTGCATGGTTTATCATTCATGAATAATAAAATAAAAATTATGAACAGAAAATATAAAAACAAACAATTAATGGAATGCAAGTTGCATGCAAAATATTCTTTTGATTGGAAACCCTGCGCAGTGTTGATCAATATGACTGCATTCCCTTTAATATAGGTTTACAAGATTTGTCAATTTCGTTTTATTTTAGATATAAAGCACTTTTCCCCCAGGGCCAACATGCTTGAATGTTGTTTCTGGGTGGAAAGAAACAGTGCAGATAAAGTGCTTTATTCAAGGACACAAGCGAAATGCACAGCGAGGGATTGAAACCCAACAGTAATTTTAAGAACCAAGATTCCATTCCATTTATTGACAAATATACAAGTACAGTACATGAAATTTGTTTTAATGAGTTGGGAATACACATTTACATATAAATTCAATAATTACCTGAAAAAAAATAATAAAAATAAAGAATACTAAATAATAATTTCAAAACAATATCATTCAATGCTCATTTCATATAAGAATGTACTTTTGGGGACAAAAAAAAAACTCTGTTTTGTAGGAAAAATTAATTTAATACAATTATTTTAAAAAAGGAAATAAAAATAAGAATAATAATAGTAATTTTAAAATAATATCCTTAATGCTCATTACAAAATAAGAATCTACTTTTGGGGTTTTGTCTACAACCTGGCTGGGTGCAAAACCTACTTTATCAAGTTAATAAAGTTTTATCAGTGGAATACTGTGTAAGGCCACATTGCAACCACAATGGGCTGTAGAAGTAGTGCAATTTGTGGATTACTATCAACTTACCGGGTGTGTCCGTGGTTTCATCACTAAGCCTGTGACCCACTAGGGCTTCTGTCTTGCTGAAGGCTACTAGGAGGATTTGGTGGCATAAAATCTGCCTCAATTGTCTCCTTCATAGCAATTCTTAACAGAAGAAAACAAAGATTAAAGAATAGATAACCACCATACTGCACCCACATGTAATTGATAATGAATCTTTTTACTTCAATTTTTGAGGATTTTTATCTCAAAGTAAAAATTACTACTGCTACAGTATGTTTTTTTGGATTTGCATAGTAATATTAACAGGCAGACCTATATAATGCAAATAAACAGAGTCTCCATGCTTTTCCCATTCAAAATAATAAAAACCCAAACTAAGTGATTAGACTCCCCCCCCCCCTTTTTAAAATTGACCAGATGTTTAGAGATGACCACTTGTTGTTGAGCTTTAGCCCATGTCATCTCTAGTCACGCTGCTGGTCAATATATAGTTAAATGTATTTGAGGAACCCTCTATTCATCAGAAGGTTTTCAACTTTAAATGGAAGGGCATTTAAAAGGCAAATTTTCTACACAGCATCATCAAATGAATGCCACCAACTTGCTGGACAGCACCACCGTTCATTTCATAATCATGAAATCTTAGCAACTATAAATTGTTCACAGCAAATGGAGCCAAAATAAACTCTACAATTACTATCATTAAGAATATTAAATATAAATGAGTGGAGTTGAATAGCTTGGCGGGTAAGATCATACCTTTCAATCCCAGGGTCTTGGGTTCAATTTCTCAGTCACAGTAACAAACTTTTTCTCACGGCAAAAACCACTCCACTCCCTAAGCCTCATAATGAGACATAGGTTAATACTTTGAGCATCTTGTGTTTATGTTTGTCTTATGAAGATACCAGCTGCGTACCCGTCCTTCGGATGGTAATAGGCACCTTACGCAACAGGACGGGAAGACTGGTGGACAGTGGTTTTGTGCTCATCAGAACGTGAAGACCATAGTAAACTCTAGTTGTCATTGTTGGAATTATGGTGGAATTGAAATAGGTACAGGTTTTTAAAAGAGCCCTATAAATTCTAGGCATAGGCTAGGTTTGGCCTAACGTTGCATTAACATGCACTGAAGATAGTGTATATTTGACTATCAGTACTGGTGTTTAAAGCGTTTAACATACGTTTACCTGGGTGGGCTAGAATGAGATGCCTACGAAATAATAGGGGCAATGATCGTTATTGGCTATCCATGGCCGGTGTGGATTTGTGTCACTTGTTTGTGATGTTGTGTGGTGGGTTATTACAAACAGAGACCTAGGCTAGGCCAGGTAGGTTAAAACATCTGAGTTTAGATGGGCCTATCAAATCAAATGTCAGAAAGTTGACAGGTAATAGGGCGTAGTTTGGATCTTAAAATTAATAATGTAATACATTTCACGTGTGTGATATTATATTGACTGGATTGTATTGCGGAGGTAATTGTTAATAATTGAAATTTATAGCGATTCAAAATAATAACACCATATAGATATTGAGAAAGACATAATGGCTCATATCTGTGACAAAACATTGAAAAAGATTGAATATCTGGAGCTACTTTGTTTACGCGTATGCACCTTCTGAAATGACAATGTGAAAAAGTGCCGGTTGGGACTAATTTAAATCAGTTTTTTTTATTAATTATTAATAAACGACGCAATTTGGAAAAAATCACATAGCCTATTACCTGCCCAGTACTAACATGAACATTTTTGTGAAAATTTTGTTTAAATCAGCTCAGTAACAAAAGAAAAAATTCCGGATATACAAACCCCAATTTGCCTTATATAGAAATGTCACTTAGATAAAGTAATGGATTGGATTGGATTTCTTCTATGCGATACACACCAAAGATTAAGTTTGCTGTTTGGCATATTCTTTGTCATATCCTAAAACAATTAATAAAAAATAAATAAAAATGCACACGCTTGCTAAAGTACCCTTCAAACACCAACATTTATCATTTACCAATAATTGCATATTAGTTTTGAGTATTATGCCATAATTTATTCAACATAAAAGTATTGTTTATATTACTTTTGTAGTAGAACAATTATAGGCAATTTGTTACTTAGTTAAAGTTTTTTAAAGATAAAATTGACTTTGTCCTGATCAGGATTTTTGTGGTATCCTCCTTTGCATTTTCTAATTTGGAGCATTTGTTTTCTCAAGGTATTGCATATTAATACGCAGCAAACAATAAAGAAGTTGATGACAGTTTAGTATGAGGAACACCTTGCCAGTCAAGCCATAGGTGATAAGGTTTTCAAAAAAAAACATTGTCTCCATCAGGATTCGAACCCTAGACCCTCTATAAACTATGTGGATGCTCTATAAAATTACCATTTAAAATGTACACTAGCCAACCCCCCCTCCCCAACTCCACCCCCAAAAACATAAAAAGATAAAAGATGCTCTATTTACCTCTTTACTGTTACTATTCAATGCTTCAACTGCATTCCTGACACTATCATAGAGGGCGCTATTGAGATCAGACTCATCATTCATCCTGTCTTTTGTGGACTGGGCACTCTACTCAAATTGCTGGCTTTTAATTTGTTCATATGAAACCAGCGAGTCCCTGCTTCTACTCACTCATTCCACTGTACATTCACTTGCAAAAGAATTTCTCTGCCTTTCGAAGAAAACTTCTGAAATTGATGGCAGTACATTTTGCTGGAAGGAATATAAAAGGAAAAATAGATTTATGAATAATATAACTACATGTAAACAGTTGGAGGCTATACAGGGGTAAAAAAAAGGGTGATATTTCAAATACCAATTGTACAGGTCTTACATGAAGCGGCTTATTGTCCTGAACATTTTGGCCATACAGGGTAAAAAAAGGGTGATATTTCAAATACCAAATGTACAGGTCTTACATGAAGTGGCTTATTGTCCTGAATATTTTGGCCATACAGGGTAAAAAATGGGTGATATTTCAAATACCAAATGTACAGGCCTTACATGAAGCGGCTTATTGTCCTGAATATTTTGGCTATACAGGGTAAAAAAAGGGTGATATTTCAAATACCAAATGTACAGGCCTTACATGAAGTGGCTTATTGTCCTGAATATTTTGGCTATACAGGGTAAAAAAAGGGTTGAAAAATGGGACAGTGAGGGCCAACAAACAAAATTGAGGGGGGAGGGGGAAAAATGAATCCCCCTTAAGCGGTGGAAATACATGAAAACGGTCGTAACTTCTTTATCTGAAGTCATATTTTAGTAATATAGTGTCTATATATATATATATATATATATATATATATATATATATAGTAGAGTAGACATCAAAATAATGATGAGTG